TTGGCTTCAATCTGTTGAAGTTTTGTTTCTTTTGTCATGCGAAAATTAGCGAAATAAACTTATAATTCTTTGAAGCGTATTGGATTCTATTTCTAACGCTGTTGAAATTACTTAAATGCTATTTTGATTATTTAAAGTGAGACTGTATGGTCTAGCTATCGATTTGCATGAGAGGTTATATCTATTATAGTTTAATACAAGTAGTAACAATAAAAGAATGACACTTTTCTCGTTCAATTATTTTGTGGTTGGCATTAACAATCTCAATACTAAATTCCAAATTGAAATTGCTCTAACAAAATATTTGGTTGAAAAGGTCATACGTATAATCTCTCTCTCTCAATATACTCCTAGTTGCTATTTGGTTTTGCAACCTTGTAGTTATTTAAATCTCATTCTTATCCACAAATATCTCCATCTGATTAATTATACATACAGTTGTTCTAGTCTCGTTGAGATAACAATCTTCTTTATTAGAGAGCTAGTCAAGTCCTAGTATCAAATACCAAGTTGGAATTTTTATTTTTTTTTAAAAATATGATACTAAACTACTCTCACAATATTTTGGAAAAGTTTTATCAAGAGATATTTTAATTTGCCAATCCTTATTGCAATTGAGAGGTGGATGCCATGTTAAAGCAAGGAGACAATTCACAGAAAGGCCTAAAAGAAAAGAACTATTTTGTTTCTTTTCCTCAAAACAAGGAATCTTGTATAATTATATGACCCTCCCCACATTAGATTGATGTATGATTTTTTGTCTAAGTGCTCATTAATATTGCTATTGTTCCCAAAGACTATGCCAAGTTGGAACACAGAGGGACTCAACATCATTATTCTTGAGGTTTTGTAGAGACAAAAATGATTCTTCTTTTAAATAATATTGTCCACTTGCAGGCTTGATAAAATTCACAAAAATAAACACTTTTAGACTCTTACAATAGAAAAAAATAAATACATAGTAGTAATTATAATAAAGTTTTAAGTTTCATAAGTAACATTTTAATTGTTATTTAAGAAAAACAAGAGGATTAAAAAGTGATCAGTACACACTGTTTCTATTAATTTGCATACTAAAGGGTCACTTAATAATTTTGTGATGCTTTATGTATAGCTAGCTCATTTTCGTACGTTTGGTGTGGTTGAAAGGTCTCTTTTGTTCCTCAACCATCCTAAAACTATCATTACTTGGTTATTATTATTATTATAGTTAAAAGGTGAATAAGTAGTTGATATTATACTATAAATTAGATTCAATTAAGGATTTCTCATTTTTTCTTCCTTGAAAGTTGAAACCTTTTACTTCTAAATATATTTTTGTTTTTTATATTGAGTTTTTTGAAAGTCAATTTGATTAATTTTCAAAGTTAAATTGGATCACATTAATTCGATATTTTAGACAAAAAAATAGATATTCTAAAACTATATGAAAGTACTATAAATTGCAATTTTTTGCATATTAATCTGATGAAAAATTACATCAAAAATAAAATGTTAGTCAAAGTTTTTATAGTTTGACTCGAAAAATAGAAATTATGACAAACAATTCCGGACATAGGAAGCACAATATAGGCCGAAAAAAGAATGAGCTTCTAGATTGCTATATATATATATATGTTAGAATTCTCCTTTTCCCCTTAATTATCACTTTGAGTATTCAAAACATTTAGAGTTGGTTGATCATTGGGACAAAGGACAACAATCTTTGAGATAAAATATAAGATTATTTTATTCAATATTTAGCTATGAATGTTTTATGTGTCACGTAATATATTTTGTGTTTAAATTGTTAGACTAGCTATCAAAGGTAGGAAGGGGCTAACTAATCCCATAGAGAGAACCATTTTTACGCTGAGCCCGAGAGTTGGAACTTATAAAAGCCCAACGAGAAAGCAAATGAACTTAACTCGTAAAGGTAAAGTTTAAAAATTGACTCTATTTTGAGCTTAATTAGAGTATAGTTATAATTTGCTTAGTTACAATTTATAGCTACATGTTAGGGAGAAGAGAGAGACGAGTGAGACTAGGAGAGGGATGAGAGAGGCGAGTGAGATACGAAAGAGAGGAGAGATGGGAGAGAGGTTGACTACATGTTGTATCCGTTGTATCACAAATACAATTTATACAATTGATTTGTAGTTTGGAAGAGAGAGTCAAGTGAGATTGAGAGAGGGAGGAAAGAAGATCAATACATGTTGTATTAGTTGTATCATAAATATAGTTAATACATAATACAAATACAATTATAATTATCTAAATACAATTGATTTGTGTCATGTATCGATTTTAATTGTATCAATTGTATTAACGAACAATTTGTATCGACAAATTAAACACAATTAGCAGAATGAAATTTGTCATATTATAGTTGATATAAAATACATACACAGCTGATACATAATACAAAATATAATTGACATGAAATACAAATACATTTGATCGATACATAATACATTATCTAAGGGTGTCAAAAATAAATCCAAACATAGGTAAACCGCCCAATCTGTCCAGAATTTTAACGGTTGAGCTCAAGATAATTTGAATTGGGTTCAATCTTAATCTGTTCAAGCTTAACTCAATTGAAGAGAATTCTCAATTGAGCCCAATTCAATCTCCAATTTCAACCCGTTTTAAAACTTTTTATTAAGATATGTTTCTATATTGAAAGTATGAATTATTATCTATTTAACATCTTTTAGGATTTATCTATCCATTTGCTACTTTTTTAACAAAAAATTCTTGAGTGAAAATTCAAATTGTGATTATAAAAGTTAAATATCAATATGTTAAATTATTAAGATTAATCGGGTCAAATTGGCGGGTCAAGGCCCAATTCTTTTTTAGCCCATTTAAGCTCAAAGTAAACTTGGGTGGGTCAAGACCCAACTCGATTTCTGTTCAACCCATTTTAATATTTCTATTTTCAACCTAACCCGCTCATTTGATACCCCTACAAATATCATATTTGTGTGTGAAATATTTTTTGGGCTGGAGAGAGAGGCCCCGAGGGGAGTGGAGGGGTGGGGTGGGGAGAGAGAGCGAGAAAGAGTGGAGAGAGAAATTTGATATGAAATCCTACATATATTACAGATTGTAATGTTCTAAACTATAACGATTTGTCATAAACACATATCATGGATTTGTCTTTTTGTGTAATTTTCCCAATTGTAAATAGGACTTCGTTATTTGAAACTTGAAAGTGAAGTCACATAGATTAAGTACAAACATTAATTAAAGACCGTGGTGGAATGATAAATATTTATTTATCTTTAATTAGTTATTTTTTTGGGAGCTCTTTATTCCAATGTGAGACTTTTGCGACATATATTCAAATTTAATCGAATCACAATATGTATTAGATTGATAAAAAAATAATTTTTTTACAATGTTAGTTGAGACTCATAACTTACTGCCTATTGGTAATCTATGACTCCTAATTCCTTAATTATTTAAATATATCATCTTGATCGTTAACAAAGTAATTTCGAAAGACCACGAGTAAGAAGACAAACGAGAATACCAAAAAATTCAAAAATTTAATGTGATTTGGTCAATCGATCTACGTCCATAAAGGAGATGAGTAATCTACTATAAATATGAGAGTACAAAATACAGAGAGAAACAACCTCAACTAATTCACTCGGAATACATGAGAAGTTCACACAAGTGATAACGTATCAAACTTGTGACCCACACTTTTCCCTCTAACCAAAGCTCTTAAAACTATATTGTGAATGCTGATTAAGTTAAACGAAACAGTCCTAAATCTTTTCCGTCCTATGAGAAACAAGATTAATCAATTCACAATTTTTTTAAAAAGAAAAACCTGTAAGAAATTTAGGCAAACAAAACCTAACACAAGTTTGTTTTTGTTTTTACTACCAACAAGAAATTCAAATGGCAAATGTATAACGCATCTTAGCTAATTATATGACCAGATTCAGATTAATATACATCTTCACCCATGCAATCCATTTCTATATAAAGAAACATACACGAACTTGATATTATTAGAGATTGAGCAATGGAGGGTAACAACAGCAGTAGCAAGTCAACCACCAATCCAGCATTGGATCCGGATCTGGACAGCCCGGATCAGCCGGGTCTGGAGTTTGCCCAATTTGCTGCCGGCTGCTTTTGGGGAGTCGAATTGGCTTTCCAGAGGGTTGGAGGAGTAGTGAAGACGGAGGTTGGGTACTCTCAGGGGAATGTCCATGACCCGAACTACAAGCTTATTTGCTCCGGAACAACCGAACATGCCGAGGCCATTCGGATCCAGTTTGACCCGAATGTCTGCCCGTATTCCAATCTCCTTTCTCTATTTTGGAGTCGCCATGACCCGACCACTCTAAATCGCCAGGTATCAAATTCCTTTGGTGTTTCATTTTATGTGATTAATATTAAAAAATTTTTATATAAATGTCATGATGATGGTTGTTGCTAGGGTAATGATGTGGGAAAGCAATACCGCTCAGGAATATATTACTATAATGATGCTCAGGCTCAACTGGCAAGGGAGTCGTTAGAAGCTAAGCAGAAGGAATTTATGGATAAGAAAATTGTCACTGAAATTCTTCCTGCTAAGAGATTTTATAGAGCTGAAGAGTATCACCAGCAATATCTAGAGAAGGGTGGGGGCAGAGGTTGTAAGCAGTCGGCTGCAAAGGGCTGCAATGACCCAATAAGGTGCTACGGTTGACAGCAGATCTTTGAATGTCATAGCAACTACAAAAGAACTTGTTAGACATTTGCTGTCTTGCTTCTTTAAATTTGAATAAACATGACAATGATTCTTATAACTACTTGCTCTCTTGGATGGAATAACTAGTTGTCGTAAAGTATTCTCCTCTTGCTAATTATTATCTCTCTTTATATGGTACCTGCAATTTGTTGCTTTAGTTACAGAATAATGGACGTCAATTCTATATCTTAATTTGTTTTAAGTCTTAAATGAGGTGGTTTGTGTTTGAAAGCAATATCAAGCATAGTAATACCAATGATTTAGTAGATGAACTTAATCAAATCAAATTCCAAAATGCAGTCTACAAATTGACAACATGAAGTTAAGTGTATCTTATGTAAATTGACATCTTTCCTAGTAGATGCCTAATACTTTTGTAAAGACTAAAATAAGCACAGATGAGGCTGTGTGCATTTAACTTAGAGTTCATCCTTAGGTGTGGCTGCAGGAGACCCTGTAGGGTTGCTTGAAGTCTTGATGGGGTAGGAGGGTTGCATTGCTATACCACACAACCCCTCTTCAGCGTCAACCTTGCGCTGCATTCTAATGTATCCTTTTTCTCCCCATTCAGCTCCCCATGAGTTCTTCACAATCCAGTATTTGGTTCCATCGACGGTTGTGCCATACCCCACAATAGCCACACCATGGTCCAACTCAGTACCACATTCTCCGGTGAATACGCCCTGCCATGTTTACAGTTTCACAAATGTTAATAGCTAGTAAACACTTTTGAACTTGAGAGACAATGGTGTATCATTTTACCTCAGAGTAGAACTGGAACTGAGAACCTGAAGCGTCTATAGCTACAGAAATAGGCTGGTTGGCTACTGCTTTAAGCAGTGCATCCTCATCATTAGGAGGAACATCCTCGTGTCCGTCAATTGAAACCACCGGAGTATTCCTCTGTTGATTCGATAAAATTCATGCCCATGTATTAGAAACAAGACTGGTCTAATTAAGACATCCTACTGATGCAATAGTCTTACCTTTTGAATGTCACACTTGTCATCTTCAGCCTTATAAGGATACCTCTCCTCTGTTGTGATGCCGCCCCTCTTCTTGATGAAGTCAAATGCCGGGTCCATCAATCCTCCATTGCATCCTTGGTTTTCTGTAGTGTCACAGTCAACAAGTTCTTGCTCCGACAAAGATACTAATTTCTTTGTTTTGATTTGGTTTATCCCCTCTACCGCAACCACAGTTGAAAATGCCCAGCAACTTCCTATAACACACAAAAAGATCTTCCATCAGTTAGCTATCATATTACAGAAAGTCATAAGTATTATATTTTTTACCCTTTTATATGTCATTATACTAGATGATGTAAGGGATTTTGTGTGGTGGGAGATAGGAGATACTAAGTGGAATAGTCGAGATGCATACAAACTGACCTGAACGTACACTAAAATTATACAAGAAAATGATCAATGACTTGTTACTAATTTCTTACCACACTGGCCTTGATCTTTGACAGGAGTGACAGCACCTTTCTTCCTCCAGTCAATAGAAGGAGGGACATTATCCTCGTTGGCGTACATGAAAGTTCCATTTGCTCGTGAAGCTCCAAGCAAAGTACGATGATGCTTAATCTTAGAACCAGCATAATGCTGTCTGAATTCATGGTTAGTCATGTCTGCAAACTTATTCAGTTTCAACTTATAAGGCTTATCCTTCTTGTTGAAGTTGTGAACATAATGAACATTAGCCTTAAACACATTAAACCTCTTGTGTTTCTCGTCAAGGCTCCTCGATACGGTGTGATGGCTTCTCCATCTCTCATACAACTCCCAGAATTTTTCCTCAGTCTCTAATTCTTTCTCGTGGAAATCGAAACTCTCCCCGAGCCTAAGTACCAAAGCTAAGGTGAAAAGAACTAGAAACAACTTCTTCATTTTGAAAGATAAGAGACTCAAGATGTGATTATTTTAGATGACTATGAAGAGGGCCTTTTATAGATAAATGAAACAAAGTGATTGATTGCTTATGGAAGAAATAACACTCAACAATAATAAAAGAAGTGGTGAAAATATTGAAATAAAATTATGATGTTATGAAGCAATGGGTCTTCTATACATTTTGCTTACACAAGCAAATGCAATTTATAAGTGTGGGGTTTTTTGGTTTTTACAAATTGATCAGAAGAAAACTTTTTAATAGATAAAGAAGGAAATAAAGGTAACTTTTTTAGTAAGGCGATGAGCAGTTAGAAGAAATGGTTTTATGCAATATTATATGCAATAAAAGGTGAAAAAGAGTTTGCAAGTTGAACACGTTAATTTGTTGGTATTAAAAGAGAATGACGAACGTTAGTTATATTGTTAAGAAACTTTGTAATAATATGTCATGAGTTGTATGTAGAAAGTTTATGTATTGGGTTCTCATTAAATTTGGATTCGTGCATTGCAACGCTTTTTTTTTGGGGGGGATAACGCTTCCACATAGGTACCAAATGGTTTTGAGACTGTTTAGACTCACTTTTCCCTATAAAATTTTTACACGTTAAAACTGTCTTTTAAATCTCTTATATTATTCTATTATATTGTATGATGAATGCTAAGTGACTTGTATGGAGTCTTATACGCCATGTTACGCCTAGGGGCTACCTTGGGTCGTGATAAACTTGATAATCAGAGTACAAGATTTAGGATTTCAAACCCAAACATATTAATTAAGGATGGAGAAATCTGAATCATACAGGGATAGCGCTTCCAACATGATTTTTTCTTTCTTCGTCTGAGGAGCTCGAACTGAAAACTTGTCACTAAGGATAGAAGAAATCCAAACCATTCCATCACGACCTTTGATGTATGACCGTTTTCTGCTATAACTGAATTTCAGATATCTTTTTTTGGAAAAAAAACAAATGAATTCTTGTTGAAGGGTCAGCGTAGTTTGTTGCGGGAAGAAATGTTTTTAATTACCCCATTCAACTACTACTATTTTCCTCTTTGATTAATTTAACAACATTTAACTAAAACACAATGTTTAAAATATTAATGTGGTTCTAATATGAATTAAAGGAAGAAAAAATTACTTATTATTAAGACTAAAATTCAATTTAATTAAATACTAAATCAGGTCGTTTTTCTGTTTTTATTACCAAAAAAAACATATATATGTTTTTGTTTTGTTTTGTTAACTTGAGCTGAAAAAAGAAAAAGAAAAAGAAAAAAGTTACACAGATCTCTTATAGTAGGTAATAAAAGCCATTAATTACCAAGAAAAAGGTCCTGCTCAAGGGTTTTCACTGAGAATAAGAATATATATATATATATATATATATAATCGATTTGGTTTAATTTTCTCGAATATTTTCTGTTTAAAACTAAAATCAAATCAATATTTATTATTGGTCGCCTTTTAAATTTAAAAATTTAAACCAAATGAAATCAAGACCATATCAATTTTTTCTTTCAATTTCAAAATTTCTGGTAGATCTTTTATGTTTTGCGCTCTTATTTGTTAGTCTAGTTCTTTGCATTTACCATAATTTCAGACTGAAGTATATTTTAGGCATAATAGATAAACGTATTTTTTTAACTTGTTTTACACATTAAGCATATACAATAAATATTAAAACTTGTATTATGCTAAGATATGTGTGTTGATTTGTACGCACTCAAAATTAGAAAATTTAAATGTCAGCTGAAGTTAAGTTAGGGATGATAATGGAGCGGGGCGGGCGGGGGGTTGAGCTTAACATGGAAAAGTTCGCTCCGCATAACATTTTCTTTTTCATTTTCACATGCCCCATCGCCCCCCCCCCCTCTCTTACTTATTTTAATATTTTTTTCTAGTTAAGTTTGATATTAAAAGTAAATTTATTTTTTTATTAAGTTGTATTAATATAATAGGATGGTGACTTATTTTTTAGAGCTCAATTAGGAAAAAAAGTAAGAAATTGAATTATCTTTTATTGAACCATTTTCATTTACTATCTTGAATATTTTAGTAGCTTAAAAGAAATAATCTTAATAAATAATGATCTGTAGCTCTTATAACATATAAAAAAAATTAAAATAAAATTTGAACCCACATAAAATCACATATACCCACCCGCAACCCCCCTCCCCCCCTTCCCATCCTACACAATCTTAAATCCACGCCGTCCCACATACCCTTAAACCTGCCCAACCCCGCAGCCGTCCCGCCCCGTTGCCATGCCTAAGTCAAGTTAATTATGATATGTAGAAGACGTGCATCTACTTGTATACATTCAAAATTGGAGAGTATAGTCAAGTTAAATAGCCACGTTTACGTCAGCGGCGGAGTTAAAATTTTATTTAAGGGGTGTCAAGATATTTAAAAATAAAATCGTATAGAAGCTAAGGAGTGTCAATATGTAATATATATACACAAAAATAATTCTTATTCTAGCTACACAATGTAATTTTCCGACTAAGGGGTGTTAACTATATGTGGCTCTGCCACTGGTTTATGTATGCATATATTTTATTCGTTCCGTGTGGCTATTCACACCCTACATATATTATGTTATGTAAAAAACATGTATTTATCTATACACACTCAAAATTGAAGAACTTAAATGTAGATCAAGTTAAACGTGCACGTTTATGTATTATGCGGTTATTTTAAAAGTGATAAACTAGAACATGCAAGTTATGTTTTCTGTTAATGTGTAGATAGAGGGTTTGAACCGTTTCTATTCCATTAACTTTTCACATTTGAAAATGGAAAAATAAGAGGAAAAGATTACAACACTGTTGCTTTTATAAACGCGGCTTGTACTTGTTTTAGTTTTAGTTTGCTTAATAAACATAATGCCTTGGCTTCATTGACAATTTTAACAAAATTATGAAGTAACGTATGTAAACATGTTATACATGTCAGCTATAGTATTTTATGCATGCTGTGAGTTGCTCGATTTAGGTGCGAATTTAGAATTTGAAGTTTTTTGAGTTTTAATAATAATTTCAAATTAATACTCTCTCTTTCTCATTTTATGTGACATTTTTTAGATTTCGATATTCAAACAAGTCTAGCTTTGACAGTAAATTATTTTCATAGAATTTTAAACATTTTGAATTATCAATTCTTATGACTTATAGTTCTTTTTACGCAGTATACAAAAACATTAGTTTCATTTCAAAAAGATTAAAGATTTCATGCGCAAGTCCCTGTCAAACTTAAACTGTTTGACTCTTGAAAAACGAAAAAGTGTCATATAAATTGAAATAGAGGGAGTATATAATAATTAAAGTTTTAGAGTAAAATATTTAGTCAATTTCTTAATAAATATATGAAACAACTTGTAATATTATAGATCTGCCTCTAAGTAAAGTATTTCATGATTATTAAGTTGTCAGCTATGCAATAAATTTGATTTATATACAAAGTTACGGTAAGCATTTCTTAAACGATTAATAACTTATTATTGTAGGTTAATAACCAGTTTTTCAAGTTATTAACTGATACTTATCATAAAAAATCGTGTGTAATTACCTTTTTTAGTCATAATTGATTTGATTATATAAGTATAGTTTATATCGTTAGGGTATAAAACTTAAACTCCAAAACAATTGCCTCTGTTCTAAGTTTTCAAATGTAATTGGTCTTACCCCTATGCAATCGCAGCATGACAGCAAATCATAGACAAGTATTAGCGTAACTCTTAAGTGATAAAAACTCTTATCTTTCTTCCTAATTAGTTGGAAGATTCTCCGAAATTAATTATTTCCAATGTCCTCTGTTTCAAAATAAGTATCATTTTAACTAATTTCGTACTTATCAGGAAAAAAATGTAAGATATATTTGCTAAATTATTCTGTAGCTATAATTATTAGAAAAAAAATGTAAGATATATTTACTAAATTATTCTGTACTTATAATTAGATATTTCTTGATAATTGAACTCTATTTAGTACTTTTTTGATGTAAGGGTATAGTCTAAACAATAACCACTGTTGTCTTAAATTCCTAACGGGACACTTATTTTAGCATTATATTTTAATACCAAAACGACACTTATTTTGAGATGGAGAGAAATGTTTGATGATTCAACTTGTGAGCACGACTATACATACACATGAAAATTATCACAAGGAAATACCACTTCATTATTCCACAAATAATGAACAGTGCATGATGTATATCTAGAATGCAATCAATACCAACTAAAGATATCTAAAAAAATTTCAACTTTAAAACTTGATGTGGTATTTACAATGTCAGCCTCAAATGTGGCTTCACAATCAATATGATGACCAACTTTATGCTTTAAGCAAACTAAAATCAACAATGACACTCATGATCCTCACTGAAATCTGAATTACAGAGCAATCTTTGAACTGATATCATGACCAAATACATACGGTTCCACTCTTATCTGAGGTGGCCAAAGGATTACCAAGACCACTCCATGAACAACAAAGTACAGAGGATGTGTGTTCTTTCAATGTGCTTACCATTTTACCGTTTGATACTGACCAAATATGAACAGATCCATCAACAGAACCTGCAGTAACATAACCGTCATCGGCACTAATACAGGATCGGCTCCAATTAGATGCAACTCGATTTGCATTTGATCTGAAAGTGCCACAAATTTCAAGGGTGCGTATATCGAATAGATTGTGCAAGTTGTCTCTCCCACTGGTTAATATCATGTTTCCATTCCGAGAGAGTGAAACTGATGTAACAGCCTGTGAATGTGCAGCAACTTCACTCAGAAGCTTGCCTGTTTGAACATCCCATAATCTAAGATTACCATCAACATGACCAGAACAGATAGTCAGGGCATCCATGCTAAACGCAAGACTGTTACAGTTACTGTGAAATATGATAGTGTTGTTACAGTAACCCTTCTGCAGATCCCAAACTTTTATTGTGCGATCATATGCAGCACTCACCACATGGCGACTTGAAAATTTGCTTACATCAACTGCACAAACCTTGTCCATGTGCCCAGTAAGAGTGTGCCGTATCCTGCCTGAATTTGCATCCCACACATACAAATTATTTGAACTACTTGCTGCTATGATGAATTTGTTATCATGTGTAACGGAAAGATCAAGAACAGA